AGATGTTGCCTCCCCTTCATATTACCCTTCACAGAAATATCAACTACCTGAGTCTATGGTCATTGAAACACACATACACACACGCACACACGCACACACGCATACATACACACAAGCTGGAATATTTAACTCTGCTTTCTATTTCTTGCCACCCCAGAAAACACAGGACCCCAAATGTCTTTGCTGCATACACATGCATTTGCTGACTTAAAATTCCTGGGAGTCACTCCCTGTGGGGAGAAAGAAAACTCCAGGATTCATGTGAATGTAGCCAGAGGCTCCGACTGAGGGGTCTTCGCTATCCAGGCAGGGCTGCTGGGGGCCGGTCAATTTTACTACCATGAAATTGGCTCCAGATGGAAGGCAGGAAAGGTGTTTACTCCCTGCTGGTCTGGAGGCACAGAGAGCCTGGAGTCTCTACCACCTAAGGTTCATAACTGCCCGGGGCTGGGCAGCATCCCCACCGAGGGTCTGGCCAGCACTGGTGGTGATGGGTGGACCAGGCTGCCTGCTACTAGGAAAAGGCTATTTTGAATATAATGACTTTCACATGGACCGTGGGGTTTGTGGGGGAAGACTTTGTAGCTGGGGTCTGGAGGGGTGGTAGGAGGGAAGCCAAGAGGTGCTCTTGGCAGCTGAGATGACACATGTCCTGTCAGCACGTTCTCCAGGTTGAGTTTCCAGAGGCCAGCTCTGTCCTGGAAGAGTGGAACCGTGGCATCCTCTGCGGTGTTCTCAGACCTTCCCAAGACCCCCGCCCCTAACCCGTGATTCACAGCTGGGTTGCTTCCCCAGAGCCCGTCTCCCGCGTGGGTTGACATGCGGCCAGCTCAGGGGTGGAGGAGCAGGCAGCCGCGGACCAGACGGGATGTTGACTGAGAGATTTGTGGCCTTGGCAGATGGGAGGGGTTAGCTTCACCCACTCAAAGGCACTCACCCCACCGACTAGTGTGCAATCGCGCCTGTCCCGCCTTCACGGGGAGACTGGCTGAGATTGCTGCCCGAGTGAATGTTCTCTGGCTTATAGCGCCCCCTAGCACCGCCGGAGGGATAGAGCTCGGTGAGCGACCACCTGCCTGTCTTCAAACCCTAAAGGCGTCGGCGGTGCTGGTCATTGGACCCATTTAACCAATATTTACTACACTCATTTTTACCAACACTTGATCCCTGTCCTCAAGGGAAACAGACAGGTGATAAAAAATCACATTAGAATCAGCCAAGTGTCATAAACGAAGGAAATACAGGGTGCTGTGGGGATACTTGGGAGGTGGGAATCAAAGAAGGCTTCCTGGAAGAGGTGACATCTAAGGTGAGAGCTGAAGGATGTGGAAGAGTTCAATGAATTTTAGAGATCCCCCCAAATGGAATTAAAACAGATATTTCTTTATCTTTTAAGTAACTACAGAGACGCTCCCAGACACAAGACCATTCCTCAGCCTCCCTTATGCTGTTGCCATCAGCATCATAATATTCTCTAAAATTCTTTGTTTTCAGCTCTGAGTCTTAGGAGAGAGAGAAGTATAGGCATTGATTGAGCGCCTTCTGGGTGGTCTTCAGGGCACATTCTGTATGGGCAAGCTTGTTTGAATGGCAAGAGCTATCTTCTCTTCAGAAACATTCGCTTGTCCTTGAGACCGTATCTTAGACTTTTGAAGCACCGAGGGACTGTAAAGACCATGGAGTTCTTTCATAAATGAGAAAATTGAGGCCTGGACAGGTGAAGTGACTTGCCCAAGGCAGGCACACAAATATAGCAATGTTGGGAACAAACTTCAGGCTTAAAAAAAAAATTTTTTTTTTAATCCTAGCCATTCTTTTGTCCCCCAGAAAGTTTTCACGCATCTCTTTGTAGTGATATGTTAGGAATGTTTTCAAAAGGTATTAGATAGTAATTTAGAAAGGGAAAAAACAAACACACAAGAGATAAACCTCTCATGAGTACAAAGCTATGTTGGTTCTGGATGGATCAGAGGGTGATTATTATCATAGCAGAGAATGATTTAATCGGGGTAAGCAGATGTCTTCTAGGGGTTGACCACTGTACAAAGAGACTCAAACAGATCCGTCTACAGATTGGAAAAGCAGATCCAGGATTTGTGAATGGCTGGGATTTCTGAAGCCAGAGGGCAAGCACTGGGCCACACCCTGCCACTGATTAACAAATAGGCAAGTTTCCTCACCTGTCTGAACTTTATTTTCCTGTCTATAAAAGGAGCATGAGTAGCCTCTGAGGTCGTTTTTTGACTTCCAAATTCTATGAACACTTCCTATAGATTCTGGCCTCATAACTTTTTACAAACCAGGTGGACACGAACTCATCTTTCCTAGTAAAGTTCCAGGGGAACTGGAGGGGATACTGAGGCAGCCTGGTAGTTTGGGGACAGGCCAGACAGATGCTGAAACATCTTCAGTACTTCACATTTATAAATCTCTCATCGTTCTTAGCTGTCAAGAGAAAGAGGGTGCTCTTTCTCATCTTTAGGGTGAAGATAGAGCTGATTTTAGCTATGTGGGCAGAGGGGAGCCACTTTAGCCAAGGCACAAAGGAAGAAGTTCCCAACTCAGTCTCTTGAAGTTCACAGAACTCCAGTGATGAGAAGGGAAGATGGTGGATCAGCTTAGAATAGGCAGCAAGCAGAAATGAACTACAAAGCACTTTCATTACCTTTCAGCTGGAAAAACAATCAGATTGCATTTGCATTCGTATAATTAAGTAGCTGCTGGAATCTAATGTTTCAGATGCTTTATTGGAGGAAGCTGCTGCTTAAAGTTGAGCAGAAGTTATCTACCTGTGACTCATATCCCCAGCAAGGCTTTCCCTTGGAGAACACATTGCGCTTTGGACAAAACTGTAACAGGAAAAGAAAAATAGAGAAGAGAGCCCCTCTATCATATAAGATGCTTATCCAAAGTGGATTTGGTCTGGAAAGGCTTATAAAACCTTCCACATGACTGGCACTGTGAGGATAAGTGAATCTCTTAAATCCCATCAAGTATGCCCTCATTCAGCTTGGCCTCTTGGAGTGGCCTCTGGGGTGCTTTTGATCAGAACTCAATGGGCTATTGGTCATACCTATGCTCAAGTCTCCTGGGATCCTATTTTTTTCTCAGAGGGCCAAAAAGCAGTATAGCCAGATATTCTAGGCCTCAAAGTATTTCTAGTATGGTTGAGGAAGTAATACAACCACATCCTATGAATCAATGAATAGAGTGTTGGAAAAACTTTGAGATAGGGAGACAGCTCTCTGGGTTAGACTGCCGTTAGTGTGAGGCTGGGGGATGATCTTCGAAGTTGAGTTGGGGATAAGACAGAAAGATGTGGAAACTGGTTTCCCTTCCCTAAGGCTAAAATGTGCAAGGGGAAAAAGGAGTTTAAAAACTGTTCTTGAAAATACCATTTCGTATGAAGTTTTCAGCTCCTACCATCCTAATGTCACTTCTCGAAGGTGTAAACAAAGTTTACAAAGTTTCTGAGAACGAGGCCAAACTTGTATTTCTGCCAGTCCTGCAGCATTTCTAGAGCCCAAACATACAAGTCTCTCTAAAAGCATGAGGTGGGAGAGAAAGGGAGAGAGACAAAAGTACAGAAAGACAGAGGATCCCAGCTGCAGACGGGCTCTGCACGGTTAGAGCTAACTGCTGCTACAGTTCAGGGAATTACATGTTTTGTCTTAAGACAAGAAGGGTCAGTCAAAATGGGTGACTTGCATTCCTGGCTGGTCACCAATCATCCCATCTTTCTGTGCTGTTGCCTCTTCTGGAAAGTACGAATGATTCTTGGGCTGGCTTTTCCTATCTAGAAGCATTATTGTGAGATATAATGGGGTGAGGGTTGGAACCCTGCCTTAAAAAATATACAGCGGAACCAAGATGTTAATAATAAGGATAGTAATTGCATGAATTATTGGCAATCATCCATCATAGCCAGTCACCTAGTATCCTAGAGAGTTCTCCAGGGTCTGGTTTTGCTCCAGTTTTGGATCCGTTCATTCCACCATCCATTACTGAAAGATGGAGACCTGCCTGCCTCCAGTGGGTCACCACTTCCTCAGGGCCTTTCTACTTGCTGCTCTGAGTAAGCCCAGAGCCTCTGCACCTGCTGTTGTCCCTGTCCGCTGCCCTCTTCTGCAGATTGTCCCACGGCTGCTCCTGGCTCTCTTCTCAGCTAGGATGGCTCCTCAGGTGCACTTCTCTTGCTGTTCCACAGAAGGCAGGGCCTTCCTCCGTCAAGTCCAATCCATGGCTCTGTTTGGTTTTCTTCTTAGCATTCACGCCATAGAAAAGTACCCTGTGTGTTCATGGATTTCCATGGGGCCAAGGGTTTTGTCTTGCTTACCCCAGCACCTGAACAGTGTTTGATGAATGAATACCAAACCCTGTTTGCTTCAGGGGAGCCCTGAAGCACACCCTTCTAATATAGTTAACTCCAAATAGCAGAGGGCTGCTCAAAGAGAGGAGAAGAGAAAAGAAGGGAGAAGAGGAGAGGAGAGGAGAGAGAGCATCTGCCTGGGTCCTTTCCCCTTGTCCGGCTCTCTCCAGAGAAGGTAAAAGGATAGTATTGGCAGTTCGCCGTAGACGGTCCTCCAGGCTCAGTCAAGGTCTCCAGGGCAGGGCACCTCTGACTTGCGCAAGGGGTTGTGCTGGAGTGGGTGAGTAGTAGTTGGTGCGGGTTTGGGATGGGCGTGGGGTGAAGGTGCAGGCCAGAAGAGGCAGGGGAAGCCGCTGGGGCCCAGGCGTCAAGCGCGGTCCGGGGCGCGCCCTAGCCCACCCACTCGCGTGCCCACAGCCGTATTATTCCCTATAAGGATCTGAACGGTCCTGGACCGCCCCACCCTGTCGCCCCGCACTTCGGGCGCTCCCGGCCCCGCCCCCTTTTCGGAGGGCCGATGAGGTAATGCGGCTCTGCGATTGGTCGGAGGGGGCGGGGTCCCGAGCGCCCGAAGGGGGGCCGGGAGGCCCCCAGCACTATATCTCTTGGCGGCCCCGGCAGCGGCGCGGAGCAGACAGCGAGCAGGCCGTGGGTGCTCTGACGACTTCTCGTCCTCTTGGTCCTCGTCCTTGTCCTCCTCCTCCTCCGACTCCTCCGGTTCCTGCGGCTCCTCCGGCTCCAGCTTCCGCTCCTCCGCACGGAGAGACCACCCGCTCGCGGAGTCCTGCGCCAGCGTCCGGGCAGCCTCTCCGCGCCCCATCCCATCCCGCTGGGCACTCGGAGGGCAGCGCGCGGAGGCCAAAGTTGCCCCGCACGGCCGGGCGGGCGAGCTCGGGCTGCAGCAGCCCCGCCGGCGGCGCGCACCGCAACTTTGGAGAGGCGAGCCGCGGCTCCAGCAGCGGCGGCGGCAGCAGCAGCAATGACTCCCTGGCTCGGGCTGGTCGTGCTCCTGGGCATCTGGAGCCTGGGGGACTGGGGCGCTGAGGCGTGCACATGCTCGCCCAGCCACCCCCAGGACGCCTTCTGCAATTCCGACATCGGTAAGCAAGCGCTCCTGGTGCCCCGCCCGAGCCCCGCGCTGTAGCCGGGACTGCGGCGCTGCTGGGGTTGTTAGGATGAGCCCCGCTCCTTTTCTCTGCCACGAGAGGGTCAAAAAGGTATTGGGGCGGGGTGGGGAGACTCAGAGTCTTCGGACAGGGACTCTGGCATATTTAAGGCGGGAAGATGCCCTGCAGAGGAAACCCACTGCGGCCAAGTGAACCCCTGGCAGCCTGTGCTCTCCTCCTAGGGTGTGCAGTTCCTACGGGTCCTCTGACATCTGGAAAACGTCCCCATTCACTGCTGAGGGACGAAGGGCTGGGGGTGGGGGTGTGTGTGTGGATGGTGAGGAGATTGTTCCTGAAACTTGGAATGCTAACGAGAGTGCTGGGATATACACTAGTTTAAAAAAAAAAGTTACTAGCCATGTGCACGGAAAGTTGCAGGAGAAACTTAGAGCGTTCAGTTTGCGTCATCTCCTGCACCTTTGAAGTTCACTTTTTTCACTGAGATCCTACCGGCTCCGACTTCCCAGCAAGTTCTAAGGGAGCTCCTTAGAGTGCCAAGTTTGGTGCATTTAAGGGGGAAAAAATGAGAAGAAAGCTGTGGGCTCGACCCTCCTCCTGGAGGAACTCTATTTGAGAGTGTTGATAGGAGGCAGGAGGTGGCGTGTGCGAGGGATCACTTATCACATAGCTGTGAAAATTTGCAGTAAGTCTATTTTTTTTTCCTTGAATGTGCATGGAAAGGGGAGAAATGGGCAGTGGAGGAAAATCTGTCACTAAAAGGACAAAGATGCCAAGGGTCACGACATGATGACAACTCCAAACTGGACTTAGTGTCTTGCTCAGAGAGACCCAGAAAGAAATAGAATCCATTTGTATGGAGGGCCGGGAGAGTGTCCCAGAGTGTCCTGGAGACTTGTTTGGGAGTTTTTGGACACTTGTGTTTGGATGGCCAGAGGCAGAGTGGCGGCCGAAAACATCTCTCCCCTCCTCCTCTCTACTCATAAGTCATGCAAGTCCCATGGCCCTTATTTCTCTCTGTGCGAGTGTGTGTGTGTGTGTGTGTGTGTGTGTGTGTGCGCGCGCGCGCGCGCGCGCCCAGGCACACTTGTATGCTGGGTGGCAGGGTAGGACTGTGTCACCGCCCTCTGCCTGAGTAGATTCAGAGGTGAAGAATAGAGTGTATGTGTTTTAAGTGCAGCCATAAAGGGGAAGGAAATTTTCCACTGGGTCTTGGGTAAGGGACTCCACAAGTGTGTTGTGGTGAGGAGGAGGGAGCAGGGGAGGCAGCTGAGGTTGGGAGGGGCAGTGCTGGTGGGCCAGGCTGAGCCTAGCAGAAGTCAGAGAGGTGGCTGTGGTGACCAGAAGGTCAGGCCACTGGCAGCTGAGGGTGTTTGTGTGACCTAGGGTCACCCTTGTTAAGAGGTTTCCTAGGGCCTGGCATGGCGGGCTCTCCCTTCTCCCCAGGGAACCTGGCTGGCCCCTGAGCTTGGGGATTACTTGGAAGGATCCCTTGGGGCTGCCTGAAGCCTGGGAAGGTTTTTCTCCCTCCTCCCCTGCAAGCCTCCACCCAAATTCCACTTGGCCTTTCCCTTCTCGTCCCAGTTGGTGACATTCCCACCTGATTAGTGTGGGGAGCTGGTGTTTCTGCAGCTGAGTTCTGATGTTGCCCAGGGCAGAGCACACACATGTAGACGGGAGGCCGGCAGGTGCAGTTGGGGTGTGCAGACTCACAGCCCAAGCCTCCTCTGCTTAAAAATGGGTTGGCTGCGTTCACTCGGGTGTGTGGCATATGAGGGGAGGGGACCTCTTCCCTCCCTTTTGCCCTGTGCTTTGGGATCTGTTCCCTGGAAATTCGCCAGGAAAAAGTGGGAGCAGCAGATCCTGCTTTCACTAGGAACCCTCCTGGACTCTGTTCACTGCCTGGGTTTCAGGCTGTGGGTCTGTGCTGATGCACAAGGCTTCTTGTAATGTCTTTGCATTGATTCAAGAAATAGCTCCCCCCACCCTCAACCCAGTAAACCACCTAAAGAAAAGCAGAGTTACCAGGAAGTACCCAAAGACCAGAACATTGTGGTAGCAAACATAAAAAAGAAATGAAAAATCTTTGATGCTCTGGCACGGATCCAAAGTTGCTCGGCCTGGCTTTGGTGCATGCACTGGTAGCAGTGATGAGCTAATGCTTTGAAAATGGGAGGTGTGGGTGTGGGCCACTGGCGAGCTGACCTCTCGCTGCCTTTCAGAGCGCCCTTCGCCCTTCGGGCGTCCAGTAGGTGGCTCAGAGCCTTTGTGGCTTCCAGGCTGGGTTGAAGTTCTGCCCATTCCCTCACTGAAGAAAACGTGTAGGATCTCCCTAGTCGGCTTGAGCACTACGACCCCACTGGTCAACCCCACAAAAGATGCTTGAGCCGGCCTGCCAACTTCCTCTTCCAGAACCTTCCTGGTACTTATCTCTCTGTGGCTAGATGCTGTGTTGTCCGGCTAAGGGTACAGCGCACCTGGTTGGCCCTCCCCCCGGGCTCCCCAGGGCCTGGCCTTCCCGCTCCTCTCTCCTCATCTACAGGTGTCTTTTTTTGCTTTTCTTCCCCGGGGCCTGGCACAGCTTTCCGGGTGAGGAGGAGTTAAAAGGTGTTTCTATGGCAACTCTGGGCCCTGCACCCTATGGAAGTGTTTAGGAGAAGAATAAACTACATGCCAGCTTGGCTTATAAGACATACTGTGGGGGAAAGAAAGGGACTTGGCAGCAGGCAGGCTGTCTGCGGCCCCCTCCCCACCAGTCACTGCCCCTGAAACTCCTGACAAAACCTTGACTCTGCAGGAGGAAGGAGGGGGGCAGCTCTGGGGATGAAGAAAGCGGCCTTGGCCGGGCACATCCTGCTCCAGCAGCTCCGTCCAGCTCAGGAAGGGCTGGGCACTGCCAAGCGCTTTCTGAAAATTGGTGTGTGTGTGTGTGTGTGTGTGTGTTTTCTGCAAAGGTGGCAAGGGGAGGGGGGCAGGCAGCAGAGAGAATTTTGCTTCAGAATGCCGAGCCCTCTTCTCTCGAGCCCTTTGCGTGGAGGAGCCGGGCTGTGGGTTGGAGTGTTCGGGGCCTGCTCCCAGCCTGTTGGGAATTCGAGACTGAGGCTCAGCTGGGGGCTGGCTGCCAGCCCTGGAGGGTGGCCCCTGCATATCTCTAAATTGTTTTGACAGGGGCCATTGCCAGCAGATTCTTTTAGTATCAGATCTGAGGTTGTCCTTTTAGCAGAGAATCCATTTGCAAAGAAACAAGATCCATTCCCTCTCTCTTGCACACATGCAATTGCACTTCAACACTGCCTTTTGAAGTTGAAGGACAATAAAAAGAATCAGACTTTGGAGAGGAGCCAGCCACTTGGTGGGGCAAGTCTGGGGGATGCAGGTTGAGGGCATCTTGGGAACCATGGAAAGAAGAGAGATGCTACTGGGCTGGAGGTGGGAAGACAGGTCTCAGATGCCATCTCTTTCAACCTTCTCCCACCCCAGCCAGCAACCTTAAAAGTAGGTATCGCATCCGTTTTTCAGGGAAAACACTGAGGCTGAGAGAGGTTTGTGCCTGGCCACCTGGCTGCACAGTGGTAAGGCTGTGCCAGTCTTCAAAAACTTTCCAACTTTCACTGGGCTATGATGTTCTAAGGCCGGTAATGTGCAGCTGGAGCAGACAGTTCACATTTGAAGAATGCTTTACTTCTAAATTTGGGAAGTCTCCCTTGAAGATATGAAGATGGCCGAAATGGCCAGAAGTTTTGAGAACTTATATTGCGGAGGGAACACAAAAGAAAATTCCTAATATTCCTTGGCTGTTAAAACTGGAAAAGACCCTCAAAACCATCAAGCTGCAGTGAGAAAATGACAGCCTTGTCCCACGGAGGCCCAGGGCGAAGTGAAGCTGATAGAGACATCTCAGGGCCTCGGGACTCTGCCCCTTCTAGGTAGGGGTGAGCTGGAGCCCCCCTGGGGGAGGTGCCCAGTCTGTGAGGATGAGTGCAGAGCGAGGAAAGCCAAACGGGAGTCAGGAGACCACGTCCCTGCTGGAGAAGGTGCCTCCCTGACAGTTCTGTGTCCCTTTCATAGATAAGGCTGGAAAAGTGGCTGCGGAAGAGGTTCCGGGTGGAGGGATTTCTGTTTGTTTTGCAGGAGCAGCAGGAACCATTCAGCCCCACTGCTGAACGGCACATTCCAACAGGTTCATTAATTAAAAACAAAAACAACAACACAATTCTCCGTCGTGCTTGGCTTTTACCATTGCAGCTACTATGGACAAGGAGGCCCCTTCTTCTAGCCTTTGTCATAGTCGACTTCTGGGTGTCCTTGAGAGGCAGTGTGGGGTGGTGGAGAGGCCGTGGGGAGGGCACATCTGGGTTCAGCTCCTCCCTCGGAGGCTGAATAATGCACTCAGCCACATTATGGGGTGTCTTTAAGCCTTAGTTTCCCCATTGAGAAAAGGGAACTAACTGTGCACCTAGGCCCTTTTTTATTTACACTTTTAAACTTAGAAGTATTGTGTGTGTTGTATGTCTGTGTATATATGTATCTCTGCGTGTATCCATCCATCCATCCATCCATCCATATCTGTGTCTCTCCATTTAAAATCAGAGGAAAGTTGTTTTGATCACTGCTTTGAATTCTAGTCCCTCCTCTAAATCCTTTCCTTGCGGCATTTATAGACACAGGCACCCCTAGCAAAGTTATAGTAGACTGTTCTGTTAGAAACACGAATAGTAGAACACATTTAGTATTCTGCTTTTTAAAAATTTCACAGTGTGTGTTGAAAGCTATCTTTTACACACACACACGGGTCTACTTTATTCCTTTTATGTATTCTGTTCCATAGGATTATAATTTAAAAAGGTAATAATTATAGAGTGGTTACTATAAGCGCAGGGACCTTCTTAGTCATTGACATGCATTAACTCATTCAATGATCTGCACAGCTCTGTGAGGCAGGTGTGCTATTGTCAGCTCTACTTTATAGCCGAGAA